CCCCGGCTTTGCCATCAGCTCAGTGGGGAGAGGCTTCCGTCAGAAAACTGTTTTGTATCATCCCAACTAAGAATCAGGCATGCAGGAGAGACAGCCTTGGGATTCCTGGGTGCTCGAGGTCATTCTCTAAGATGAAATCTCTTAGTAAAATGAGAACATACCACATGCAAAGTAGGGGTTCTGTCTGCTTTCTGAGTCATGTCAGGAAAGACCCGGAGTGGGCCATGCCCGGCTTGGCCATGCAGGCTCCTGTGGAAGGTGTCCCTGGGCCTCAGTGGTCAGCCCTGGGGCGGCCCAGGCAGTCCCGGGAGGGTGACTCCGGCTCTCACGGAGGCTGGGGGGCGGGGAGAGGGCCACACAGTGGTCTCTTCTGATTGGTAACTGACAACTTTGTGTTAAATGAAAAACATCCCATTCTAAATGCTGTGATTAAATGTTTCCAAGTTACGTTAATCTCAATACTCTAATGTATTCTTATGCCTGACACCTATTGAGTTAACAAGTAATAGTTGCCATTGAATGTTTACGTTGCACTAGGAACTGTCCCTGTCAGCTCCTTAGCCTGCCACTGCCCCGGGAGCAGGTTCTGGGGTTATTATTTGTGTTATTACAGAAACCAAGGCACCTGCAGTTCAGGTGCACTTTCCACTGGGTGGAGACAGTCTCCATTTTCCACCCCACAGAGTGTAGCAAGTTACCCAGTAATTCACTCTGGAGACTGTTCTAGAAGAAGGGGGCCCGTGACCCACCAGTGTTGTCTCCTCGTGGTTTGTAGGTAGTTACGCTGGCTCGGGGGCGTCGGGGTGAACTAGTGCAGCGCGTCCAGGTGTGTTTCTGAGGCGCGGGATGTGCGTGCTGTGTGAAAGCTCGGGAAACGTTACCTATTAAAACCTCAGGGTGGACTAAGTGCTGGTAACGCTGAGGGACCCGATGCCCGTTTCTTTTTCACGCTGACGGTGGTTAACACCCGCACCGGCCAGCTGCCCGTCACTGTGAAGGTGGGTACGTTGTCTGCAGGTGGCCGGGGGGATCCGATGGCTGTGCGACCGGAGGGCCCTGACCACGTGGGCTCCTTTAGTGGGGTGCCCAGCTAGCGCCTCCGGGCTTCAGTCTCCCCATCGCTAAACCAGCAGCTTTGGTTTCACATTGTGGAGTTGTGAGAATGGAGAGAGTGAAAATGCCTCGTGAGATGTTGATCTGCAACAAACTAAAGAATTACCAATAACAGGAGCTTTCCTGAGTACAAGGTGCTGTGCGTGGGCGCCCAGTGGGTGGGGCTGTTGTGTCGGAGGGAGGTAGCAGCTCCGCCGGTGAGAGGCCGAGTGGGGAGCAGGCCTTGCATCTCTTAGCGGGCACCCCGCCTTTCCTCACAGTCGCTGCTCTGTGGAAGCCCTGGCTGAGCACGGGCGCAGGGCCCGGTGCCTGTGCGAGTGGCACAGCCGTGGCCCTTCCTCCTGCCCGGCCCTGACCCCAGCGTGGTCACTGCAGCAGAGGGTGGAGACTCGGAGGCCACCGTGTTCACTGGGTCGTGTTCCAGGTGGGGGGTGGGGGTTAAATCATTGCCTGTGCTGTGAATGAGGGATGTTATGCTTCTGTTTTCAATTTTATTTTTAAATATTTATTTATCTTTATTGTTGGAAGTATTACAGATGTCTCCCTTTTTTCCCCACTGATCCC